TCTCTTTTTTTTATCTTTTTACTACCTCCCCTCTGCATCTTTTTTTTTTTTGTTTTTCTCTTCAGCCTCTCACATACCCACCTCTAGTCTCTCTTGCGTATTTTTCTTACCCATCTTTGTATTGCCTAACCTGTTCCTAACCTAGATTTTGTCCTTCAAAATGCTTGATGGGCTCTGTTCTGTGCTCACTGCTGGGCCAAGTGTCTGCTGTGGTGGTGTTGAGGAGTGCCTGGCTGTTCCCAGCCAATCTGATGGCTGTCATCCTCTGCTCCCAGCCAGCTGGCTCTGCCTCTGCCCTGGCTCCTGCCACCACCAAGGAGCATGGCAGTGTCTCTCCTGTCCCAGCTTCCTCCCTTCTGGCACCATGTGCTTTTTTCTGCCACCCTTCGTGGCCCAAGGGCCTTTTGCTGCAGCCCAAGAACAGCTTCCAGAAGATCTGTGATCCAGAAGGACAAAGCTGAGCTCCGGCAGGGAAGATCAGTGTGGATGCTCTGGGAGAGAGAGAGAAAGGATGAATTCATCACAAAGGATTTATAAGAAGAAACTGCGTTACATCTGTGATGATTCCATGTGTAATTATATCTTCTCTAATTGACTTATGCTTCAGAAAAACATTCATTTTCATCAGTGTTTTATTTCTCCAAGATTCTAAAGAGGTGAAATAGCACTTAAAGGTTGTGGTTTAACCCCTGCCAGCAGCTGAGAACCACAGAGCTGCTCACAGAGTGCCCCCACTGCTGCCCACCCTGGGAGGGAGGAGAATCTGTAAAAAACCCCAAAGCTCTGAGATAAAGACACTTAACAGGAACAGCAAAGCAAGGGATTCATTCCCAGTGCCCGTGGCAGGAATGAACACCATTCCTGGTGTCCATCACCCCAGGACAGCTGGGCTCCACCATGTGGGACAGTGGCCTGGGAGGACAAAGAGCATCACCCCAAGCATCCCCCTCATCCTCCTTCTCCTGCTTCAAATGCTGAGTGTGATGTGGGATATTTGGAATATCCCTTGGGTCAGCTGTCCCAGCTGTGTCCACTCCCCTGAGCACTCCCAGCCCCAGCAGAAGCAGCCTTGGCTCTGTGTCAGCTCTGCTCAGCAGTGACAAAAACTTCTCAGAGATTCCTTTGTCTTTGCAGCACAACTCCAAACCACAGCCCCACACCATCTACTATGGAGAAAATTAACTTTCTCCCAGGCCAAACCAGCAAACTAAATTCAATAGTTTGTCTTCAGGTTGTACAAAGTTCCTTTATTGGATCTGGCCAAGGATGAATTATAATTAATAACCTGATAACAGTTATCAAGAAAACATAAAGTGCAATGAATGTATTAAATACTGGTGGTCATAATTTCTGTGATAGAAAACTGGAATGCTGTGGAGATCTTTAATGCTGAAATCCTTCTTGCACTCATGTTTTGTACAGCAAGCATATTTCTGACCACACATATGTCCAATAGGTAGAAGGAGACAAGGTGACAAGTCCAAATTATCCTCTGTTGGGTGAGATCTTAAAGAGATTAGGATTCTTGAGCTTGGAATGATGACAGATAAGTGAGAAGAGAGGCCTAGACAATCATCAATGCTCAAAGAAAGTGAAATGTTTTGCTGTCTAAGAACCAATACTCATTTATATTGTCAGCCAGCGAGTTCAAAATTAGCATAACAATGGGCTTCCCTCACATGGAGCAGGATTGTGGCACTTGGAGTTTATCTGGGATCAAGCAGGATGGATCAGGGGCTGTGTACAAGTTCTGGCTCAGGAAGCTCAGCAGTCACTGGCTTCAGGGTTTTATTTTGCAGACCAGGGCCATGGCATTTCTTACTTTCCTTCCCTAAATGTTTGCCTCTGTGATTCTGGACTAGATCAGCCTTTTCTCTTGGCCAGCGTGGCAATTCCTATATTAAAAATATATATATGAACTAGATGTTGTTGTTACAAAACTGTTGTAATCAATAAGGGCTAATTAAAAAAAAATTAATGCTGAAAATCCAATGAAAGAACAGTTTGATATGATTTACATTTGTGTGCCTTAAATTCAGTTTATTCAAGTAAATATGAGGTGCTTAAGGTGGACAGGTTAGAGCTTATTAATTACCTTGCTCTGTACATATAAGCAATATAGATGCCAGCTCCAATCTCTAATAAATCCATCAGCTCTGGGGGTTTTCCTGTTCATTCCCAGTGAGTGTGAGTGCATGTGACAGGCCATGGCTCTGTCAGAACGAATTGTCCCCCTTGGAGAGCTGGCAGCACAGGGAAGTGACAACTTAATGGAAGCTAAAGCACTCTAATGGCAGTGCCTGGTGAAAGGCAGGGGAAGTCATCCCAGCGCTTGCCCTGGCTCTTGGAAATGTCTCTTTGCATTTCTGCTAATGTGCAGGATCTTGGAGCCTTGCTGGAGTCACATTTGCAGGTATTACTCCATGAAAGGCCGCTCAGTCAAGCACTTGTTTGTGGGCAGACCTGGCTCCAGCAGGGTCAGCCCCTCTGACACTGTGACCTTCTCCATGTGCTCCCAGTCCTGCAGCATCACTCACTTCCAAACCCCTCCTCTGGCAGCCACAGAAACCCATTTCCAGCACCTAGCACCAATGCAAGTACAAGCATTTTATCCATGACACAGCTATTTTTATTTAGTTATGAATGGAGTCTGTGCTTAATCAAATGGATGGAAAGATAATGCACTTTATCTAAGTATATTTGTTTACAGGTGAAGAATATAGAGATTAATTTTCCTGCCTTTTGTTGGTGTTATGAACAAAAAGTTGTGTTGAGCCAATGGATAAAATTGTTGTAATGAGATTATTGCACGTTGTTTTAATATCTTTTTAGATTACACTGGTGTATGTGAACATATTTATTTATAAATAAATAAAACCCCAGTAATTTGCATACATTTGTGGACTGTCTTATAAGTGCCCAGTGATTACATTTAAACATTTTCATTTTAATTACATTTTAATATTTTAATAACTTTTATAAATTCAGCTGTGGATATTCAATCTAGATTATTGTATTTTTATTAGGTTTACATGCAAATAATTACTTTGTTCCTGGTTTTCTTGGTGTGATGGTGCTTTTGGACAAAACCAGAATAGCAATCACTATCAGTAGAATAGTACTTCTTCATCTTTTAATAAAAAGCATGTATGCTTTTCAGGTTGTAATTAGCCAGGTAGATTAAAAAATTAAAGAAATATTCCTGATAATAGAATTTGTAAGATTTACTGAACTTAATCAGTACTATACAATTTATCCAAGTTCATAGAGAACAGGCGAGGGCAGACCCAAGAGGACTTCAGAACTGAAAAGGAGAAAGCCAAATGACTGTTCTAAATTAAAAATAACCAACCAACCCAAATGATCCAAGCAAAAAACATTTCTGTGTGGTTATTTCTATGATAATTTGCTTTCTAGTTGAGACTTTGGTGTTGTTTAGCATGTAACAGTTGTTGTGAAGGAAAGGTGAATCTAAGCAGACTGTTGCTAATGTTTTTGCCATGGATCTGCTTCCTCATTCTCCTCTCTTCTGCCATTCTGGGGGTCACAGGAAACTCCAAACTGCTCATTGAACCTCTCAGGGTTCTCTGTGATTTCCCCCTACCCTGTGACAAACATTTCCAGTAGAAGCAATTTGCTCACCTGGATCTGGAGCAGTGATTGCTGCCTTGCTTTGTGTCTGCTCCACTCAGGAGCTTTGGAGTTCTTAGGGATTTTCCTAAAGCTATGGCCTGTGGAAGCTATCAAGCAGATAGTTTATAACAACTGATATTAACACATTTTTGCTATAAAATGGTTTTCATAATGGCTCATTCTTGCATATTTTCTCGTGGAGCAAGTCCTACTTCAAGTTTCAATTAAAACTTCAATTAAAACTCCTCTGTACATTCAGGGCCTGTGGGGTTTCTGTTATATAATACTTCCCTTTTCAGTTCCTCAACAGAACTGTTCTCTCTTAGAAATTGTTTCCTTCACACACAGAATCAATATGAACTCACAAAATCTTTGCTTCACTTAAATTGGGATTTTCCTCAGGTAAGAATTTGATTTCCCAGTGTGAGAAATGTCTCCCCTCTTTTACTGGGTGCACCAGGCTCCTTTAAGAGCCAGAGCAGATCTTCCAGATTTTTTTGTCACTTGGATTTTGCAATTGCTTGAAGTATTCAGTTAACTCTTTTTAATCTCTTATTTTAAATGACTTTATGTTATTAGAGAAAATACAGACTGATTATCACTTTCTTCTTCCCTAGAATTAATTGTGGATTTACAGAATTATGTATATATATATATATATATTTGCATATGTGCATATATGTTTTCTTTCCTTCTTAGTCTAATGAAAAATTCACTGCACTGCTGAGCTTTATGTTGTCAGCTGAAGATTAATTTTTGCTTTTTAACGATAGTTTATTTTAATTTCTTTTAACTGACTGAAGGTAACAAACAAGCATCTTCAGTATTGCACTCTCCTGCAAGCCACTGATTGATGCAAGGGATTTTTTCCCTTCATGCAGCTATACATGTGTGTGTGTATGTATGTATATGCATACAAGTATATTCTAATTATTCCCCAAATTCTTGTCCAAATTGCTAATTTGACATTTTTTACTTGACAAAATTGGTATTCTGTGAAACAGTGCCAAGTTTGCATGCACACAAAAATTGAAATATTTGTCTGCATGAGGTGATTCAAGTTGAGAGTGGGATTTTTCTGCTCACACAGGCCTCTGTTGCCCCACCTTTAAAAAGTAGCTTGCTTTCAGTTTATACAGAACAAATACCCTGCCTCATGCAGGGAGGACATTGGCACATGCAGGGGACATTTTTTAATTTAGGCAAAGTGTATAATATATCATACATGTTTGCTAAGTTGTAAGAATTTAAGATCACTTTCTTCAAGAAAAATCTGGACTCTGGAATGGTATCAAGTTTTGTTGGAACTGAGACAAAAGTGAAGTGTGCACAATAATTATTTAGTTCATCTCTGGGCTGCTTTTTAGGTGTTGTGAAGGAAAAAAAGCCAGAGAAAATATAGTTGCAGTCAGAAGTCAATGTAAAGAAGTCCAGGTAAATCAAAACTATTCTACACTGTAAATAATTTACTCTTCTCCCTTTGCCTGGTCCTTTGCCACCCCACCCCTGTGGTATTTTCTGAGTCCTCGTCATTGGGAGGAATGATCAATCTGACTCCATGCTCTTAGAAGGCTACTTTATTATTTTATTATCTATATTATGTTAAAGAATGCTGCACTAAACTATTCTAAAGAATAGAGACAGGATACAGAGAGAAGGCTAAAAGACAATAATGGAAAACTTGTGACTCCTTCGAGTCCTAACACAGGCTGGCCATGATTGGCCACTAAGTAAAAACAATTCACATGTTGGATGAACAACCTCTAACCACATTCCATAGCAGCAAAACACAGGAGAAGCAAATGAAATAATATTGTTTTCCTTTTTCTCTGAGGCTTCTCAGCTTCCCAGGAGAAGAATCCTGGCCAAAGAGATTTTTCAGAAAATGTGAATGTGATGCTCCCCTACTCTTTGTTTGCCCACCTGACCTGTTCATACCCTCTTGGTTTATTTGTAGTGTTGCTAACCCGAGGTAATCCCATGTAGTTTAACACATAGAAATGCTCCAGCTGGGAAAATCCAATGGAGGTTTGCAGTGTTTTACAGCCTTCTTCTTGCCTCCAGAGTTCTGAGAGGCAGATAAACCACCTGGGACACCATGATGGGCTTTGTGCAGGGTGTGCAGGGATTGCTGTCCCAGGCTCAGGTGAGCAGGGACCCTCCAGTGTCAGAGATCTGCCTCCTCCTGTTTACATGCAGCAAATTTGGAATTTACACAGAAAACTAATGGGGTCTCTGGTGTCTCACAGATTTCCTTGGCTTTATCTGCTCTGGGTAATTAATGTAACCAAGTGAGTGGATGAGCTCTTTTCTGTAGGAGTCAGTAGGCAAGGATGTTTGGAAAATGAATGAACTGCTAAGATTAATTGCAAGGCTGAACAGCCTGGTGAGGGATTCAGAAGGAAGTGCCAATGCCTGTATATCCAAAAGATTTCTTTATTAAAAGTTGTTCAAAATCTCAGTAACATTAGATATCAGATAAGACTGGAGATAATGCTTTATTGTTGATGTTTTAGTCTTAAAATTTGCAAATTATTAATTGCTGGTAGAGAATAATTCATATAAATATTGATCTCAATCAGCTCAGCTGGATTTTTAGTATTCTTCATAATGATAGCCAATTCTAATAATAATTATAAAAATGCATTTTCTAAATTTACAGTGGTTGAATAGTCAGCAGAAAGATTTAAATCAAAGTTTTGTGTGAACTGCTTAATGGGGAAAAAAAACCAAAAAACACAGATCAGATGGTAACAGGATTCAGTTAGGGAATTCTGGGTTTGCTTTACATTTCTTTAGTCATTTTAGAGATAATTTGTCTTTCGAGTTGAGATTTTTTTTTCCTGTTCATTTTATCAAAGTGCTGCTTACCTATAGTTTACCAGTATTTATAAATAGATTTCCTCAAGGGAAAATATGTGTTGGGATTTTTCTGGGTGAATTTTAAGAATATTTTGAACCTATCGGTTAATTCTGTCTGCAGACCTCCGTTGTTTTGACTGCCACTCATGTAACACCTGACAGTGTGGATCTAAAATGTGCAGCCAGGCTTGTGAATGGCAGATAGGAACATGGAAGTGCAAGGAGGAAAATCCTGAGTACTCAGAGGAAGGAACTTGTCAGCAGGTACTGTGTTCAAGTTCAGACAGAGGCTTTTTTTTTTTTTTTCCCTCAACCATTTTAGCATGAAATCAATGGGGAATGCATAATTTTTTAGATGTGTCTGAGATTGCACAGCAAATGGTCACCAATGAGACTCTCAGCTGCCACACAATCTGGCACAGCTCCTTTCTGCTCCAGAGCTCCCAGTTGCATTCAGCCCACTGTCGATGTGATGCCTCTTTTTGGCTCCTTGCCCATCTGTTTTAGTAATTACTGTCATATAAACTGATATTTCTGGACTAGAAACCATGTTGTTGTGAGATAAGCCCGTTGGAGTTACCTTTTGTGACGTGTTCAAGCAGCTCACTGACTTTCTACTCTGAGCTGTAAAATTTGCATCCACATTTCCTGCAATATATAGAGAAGGATACTATGTTTTTTTTGGTTTTTTTTTTTAACACAAGGAGTTATATTAAAATAGAATCAGATTTTGGTACTGCTTCCTTTTAATCACAGCTATGGTACTTTCACTGTTTTAGCGCTTTTTTTTTTTTTTTTTTAGGATCACTATAAAAAACAGTGTCCTTGAATAAAGTGTTTGTGTTAATAAGTTTTGGCAGACATAATTTTTTTAAGTATAAAATATACAAAGAAGTGGTTTGCCCTATCCAAATCATCCATTAGCACAACAGGACCATCCAAAATGACATCATCACATAAACCAGCTAAAGCACAAAGATTCCAGGAGGGTGAAGAGCAGCTTTATTCTGACAGAAATTGAGCAGAATCAAAGGTGAGTTAAAAGAAAGGCTCAGACAACATCCTGTCATGAACTTAACCCATTAACAGCCCCAGGGGCAAGAGCAGAGCAGCCAACACAAATATCAGTGGTGTGTGCCAAGGAGCCAGATGCCATCACTGCAAAATCACTGCCTCAGCTTGGCATCTGTGCCTCCAGCCTGCCAGCCCCACGGGGAGGAGAAGCTGGGCAGGCAGTGTTGTCTGGGGCTGCAGAGAAAGAGCTTCTCTCTCTTCCCTTTGCCTTTCTTCGTAGCTGGGTTCTTGGCTGGCATTGGCAAAGTTTGTAATGAGAGAGGAGAGAGAACTTGGCCATTTCCATATACACTTAAATATTATATCTTTATTATTTATTATTATTTATGCCTATTATTTAAATATTATTTATTATAATACATACATATATATGTATGTATATGCAATATATTGTATACAATGCAATATATACAATATAGTATATACAATTGTATATATAGTATAATATTGTATATACAATATTGTATATACACTATTGTATATATTGTATACAATACAATATATATACACATATATATATTGTATACAATACTATATATATATATATATACATATATATATATATACACATATACGTATAGATAGAAAGATGTGGATGGATGAAAGATTATATGAAAATGTTGATGTATGTGCATTTGGGCATACTGGACCAGAAAAAGGGAGAGATGAAGGAAGGAGGCAAAAGAAACCAGAGTGAAGTAAAACCAAAACAACACACAATAAAACTCTGAAAATAAGTAAATACTTATCATTTCTCTAACTTTTCACAAGTCATATCTGCTCAGTAAACAAATTCTTGATGTGTTATCTTTGCAGTGACATTCTACATAGGAAGGTTCAAAGCATTTGGCAAGTTAAATTTTTAGGATTTAAACCAAAATCTTTTATGTGATTATTGATATCATTCTGTCACACCTGAATAATATATCTACATTTTGATCACTTCTTTTTTAATTTGGTATCCCTATTTTAGTCGGAATAATTTTAGCCATGCAATCAGTACTCAGGCTTCTCACAGTGAGCCTGACCAATCTAAAGCATCAGAAAGAGGATCTGCAATAATTTGAGTGGCTCCAGTGATGGTGGGGCCACTGGAAACTGCAAACCTAGGAACTGGGAACCTTTCTGGTTAGCCAAAAATCAGCTCTCCATGCATTAAAGGTGTATTAAATTAAAATGCAAATAGCTGCAGGTGTCTGGATTGGTTAGGGGGTTAAATGCTGTGACACTGGAAAACTTTAATTTCTTCTGTTTTCAAGACGGAATGTTCAGTCCTGTGGAAAAATCTGTGTGAAGCAGAAATCTTGTGAACAGGCAAAATCTTTTTTTTTTTGTTTTTAAGTGAAAGTAGCACAGTAGTAAATATGAAATAAAAGTGCTAATTAATTCAGGGAAAACTCTTTAAATATATATTGATCAGAGAGAGACATTCGAGGTGAGCTGTAGATTTAAAATGTTACTTTCCAAAGCTCAGAAAAAGCTCACAGAATATGGTGTTTATGATTCAGCTGTCAAACATGGCTGGAAAGGCCCAATTTAGGGCAGACAATAAAGGGTTTTGATGAACACACATTCCCTCTGCTACCCCATGGACAGAGCAAGGCTTCTTTTTTGTGTGATAGTGCTGAATTCTGAAATGAAACACAGTGGGAAGGAGGAGGTTGAAAAGACTTCAGAAGTGAGCATCTGTCTTGGAACTAAAGGATTTTTCCTCCTTTAAGTTTCAGTTTCCTATGTTTGTCATGCATTCAGTACATGCTAAAGCTGTTCAAAAGATACCACTGTCACAGCATGAGGAATTATGAGTAGGAGCAAAGTTGTGTCTAGAGTTGGTCTGGACAAAAGGGGTTTTTTGCTCTCTGAGTTCTTATTAAAACCCTCAAGTCCATTTTTTTAGGCTCAGTAATCATTGCTGAGAAATAGCAATATTTAATCATAAATATAATTTAGTTTTTAGCAGCAGCAGAGTTTTACAATTTTTAAATATTTTTAAAATTATATAAATATAAATATTTTATAAATATTTTTACAGGAGAATAGAACTGGCATTGTGCAATTTGAGGTTTTTATGTCTTAAGAGATCCATATGCATAGATCTTCATAGTTATTTCAGAGTTAAATCTTCAGCTGTCTTATCCTGGAATAAAGTCCTTATCATTGGGTTTTGAATTTCCAAGTGTGTCATGACTAAAATATTTTAGCTTGGCAGTATTATCTTTGAGTTCATTCTTTCTTCATTCTCCTCCTTATTATAGATGGTCTAAATACTTTCACTTCACCTTTTTGCACTTCAGTGCTTCACAGACTTCACTCCCCAAACCTTACCACACAAACTCTAAAGGTTTTTTTTCCCTTTATTTTTTCTTTCATATATTTTTTATTTAATTTGTAACATAGACAGGTTGTGATTATTAGAGGGAGGAGCTGTAACTGAACTTTGAAATATTTAAAAGCAATAAACCACAGAGGCTTGAATAATATTTGGATGTGGATGAAGAGTAAGTGGCTGATAATTCCAGAGAAGAATTAGAAGAACTGGGGTTTTGGTGTTATGGAGTTACAGAATGACACAGGGCTGGAGGGGCCCTCTGGATGTTGCTGAATCCATCCACTGCACAAAGCAGGATCAGCTGCACAGGGAGCAGGTTTGGGGCATCCCTATGAACTCACAACTAGTATGGGAGCACTGTTCCACTGTTGGGTAGATTCTCCTCCCAGGAAACAGGTTCTCTGATATTTAAATAGGGTGTAACGTGAGTCAGTCTGTGCCTGTTGCCCCTTCTCATTTATCTGGCTGCATCCTCTTTGCACCCTCCCTTCAGGAGCTCATGTGCATTTCTGGGACCCCTCAAGCCTTTCCTTCTCTGCCTGAGCAGCCCCAGCTCTCTCAGGCTCTCCTGGGTGATCCCCCCTCCCTGATCCACGCCCTGCTGCTGTGCTGGACTGGCTGCACCCTGTCCGTCTGTCCATCTGCTCACCCTGGACAGCACAAACTCCCTGTGGCCGCTGCAGGCTGGGAGGGAAGGATCCCATCCCTGGGTTCTGCTCCCCAGAGCCTTCCTGACACCTCCCAGGCTGCTGCACCTGGGCTTTGCTGTGAGGGAAATTTGCTTTTTTATTGTTATCCCGTGTTCACTCCTCCTCCTGCTTTTCCTTGTCCTTTTCCCTAAAGCTCCTTTGCAGGCAGTTGTTCCCCAGCCTCCCTCCTGGATAATGTTTTCATCCTCTTCCTCACCAGACTGCATCACTTTGAGTGCATTTTCAGTTTTTGGGTTTGTATTGCTTTGAGTAATGGTTAAAGTCTGATTTTAAGGGTTTGTTTTTTTTCCTTCCCCCAAGCCTTTTGGAATTTATCATTCCCAGAATGCTCCTGTGTTCTGTGAGTAATAAATCTTCCTGGTGTTTTGTGATTTGCAGTTCATAGGACAAATTATTCAAACATCTTATTACTGTTTCATTAAACCCCTTTTTATATGCTGTATCACAAAGGTATTTCGAATTCTAATAGACATTGGTGCTTTATTGTGTTCATGCTTTATAATATTCATGTTGTTTAAATGTTTTGCCTTTCCTTTTGCTTTTCATTTCTCTCTTATCGGAGAGATATGATATCCTACAATTTTTTATTTCTGATTATTTGGAAATCAACACATAATTCATATGGCTCAATTGCTGTCATTGATATACTCAAATTACAGTTATGGCTATTAAAGGAAATTATTAAGAACTCAATGCCTTGAATTTCAGTGACAGTCTGCTGCCTTATCATCCTTTTGAAACCTCAGTACAAAAACTTTAGGTGATTATCTTTTAATTGTACATGTGAATGAGTTGGAGGAAGGATGAACCGAGCAGGGGCAAAGCTTCTGAGTAATCAAAGAAGTTTTAATGTACTTTAAACTGGCGAAAATGTTAGTGGTCTTTTTTTGGAATGTGCAGTGCTCTATTTCTGTGGCTGTGGGCTGGAAACAGATTGGATGTCAGACTGATTGTCAGCATTTGTGTTCACGGCTTTTATATGTGGGTGGTTTCTCCAGTAAAGAATTCTGCATTTATTGTAAAAACTAGTAAGGTAATTTTCCTATAGCTTGGCTAGTTATGAAAATACGTAAGGTGCAATTAATGTATAACAAGGATTGGAAAATTTACCTTCTCTTTCAAAGGGAAACAAACTCCTGAAACATAATTCACTGTGAGAATATTTGAACCAGCAGACTGAACATAAAAATCTTTGATGTGTCCTGAAAGGATTTGATAGGATAAGTTTAAAGTAGCTTCAGATTTTGTCTTTCCTCTCTGTTGCTTCTATCACAATAAAGATTAATTACTGTATGCTTGAATAATCATCTACTGAATCAATATATGTGCATTTTTACACTTATTATGAGATGGTGGTGTGTAATCTTGGCTGGGTTTATACTTTTTTTTTTTGATCTACCCTGTCATCACACTTTGGAATAGGAGTTAATTCAGTTCTGTGTTCTGGCTCCCTGGAACATCGTGAGCATCTCATTTCCCACTTCTCTAAGAGAGGAATTCTCCAAGTCTTTTTTGGGTCAGATGATTAAGAGTTCTGTGTGAGGAGTTCTGTGAAATCTGCTCCAAAGAAAGCAGTCCAGTT